AGGCCGAGCAGGATTCGAACCCACGACCACCCGGTCCGTAGCCGGGCATTCTATCCAACTGAACTATCGGCCTGACGTCTGCAGCTGCTGCTGAGTGCCAGACTCTGGGCAACCTGCAATTTTTCTCTGAATTGCGTAATTTGTTCTTTTTAAGTTCTTTTAAAAAGTATTTTTAATTTTTTTTATTACGGTTTGAAGCTGCTTATTTAGCTGCGAAGGGCAGACACAGCTCTGCATGCTGCAGAGCTTGAGGCCACCGGTATTGACTCGGGCAGGGGGGCCCCACAGCAGTGACCTTGGGGCATTCAAGTGGCCACTGTAGTCCAAATTTGAATTTAATAGACAATTTTGTTTATGAGCAGAGGCACAGGCCTCAAATTTGGAACCATCTGGGGCCCCCATCCTCCTCTGGGGGCCCCCAAACTGCCCAGATCATCCAGCCCCCATGAGGCGCTCCTGTTGAACCCCCTACACCACAACTTGACCACTGGTCAGTCCATTACAGGGGCCCAGGGGCAGCCTCAACGGATGCGGCTGCTCTACGGGGGCCCCTCTGGGGGCCCCCGGCCTCCTCGCCTCCGCGGGTCGTTCTTGCTGCACAGCAACGCAGCAGCAGCAGCAAAGACATTCCTACGACGGCAGCAGCAGCCTCTGCAGCAACCCAACCAGCTGCAGCAGCGGCGCCTTTCCCTGCCATTTGCTGGCTTCACAACCCACACTGCAGCAGCAGCAGCAGCAGCAGCAGCAGCAGCAGCAGCGGCAGCAGACTCGCTTTCACAGCAAAATAGGCCCCCCGTGAAGCTGCCACCTTATGTTCAGCAGCTCACATTGGGCTCTTGGACTCTTTTCTTTTATCCTGTCCCTCAATACCTCAAGTCCATAGAAGGGGCCCTTGCCGGGGCCCCCCAAGGGGCCCTGCAGGGGGCCCCCCAAGGGGCCCTGCAGGGGGGCCCCCAAGGGGCCCCGCAGGGGGGCCCCCAAGGGGGCCCCGAAGGACTTCCTGAGGAAGGTCCGAGTGCCTGGGAGGGGGCTGTGCTTGTTGCTGAAATGCAGCCTAGTCTGCTGTGTTTGGAGTGCTGCAGCAGCAGACTGCAGCAGCTAGCAGCAGCAGCAGCAGCAGCAACAGCAGCAGCAGCTGCAAGGGGGTCTTCCCTTGAGGCGGAGACACGGAAGCAGCAGAGGCGACTCGCCAAGGGACTCTCGCTTCTCACCTCCTTTGATGGCGGTAGCCACGTCCTAAACCCTAAACCCTAAACCCTAAACCCTAAACCCTAAACCCTAGCCAGCAAATACTGCGGCCTGCCGCTGCAGGCGCCCCTAGAGTTTCCTAGACCTTCTTCTTGCCCTTAAGGGCCCCCCATTTGTTTTGCATTTCTTTGATTTTTAAATTTACTTTTTGCTGCTCTTTTGCTGCTTCTGTTTGCACAGGTTTGCTGCATGCAGCGCTGCTGCCAGTTGTCGTTGCTGCAGGGGCCCTGCAGGGTCTTGCAGGGGCCCCTGGGGGGCCCCCCAGGGGGGCCCCCCCCTTCTTCCAGGAGGCCCCCCCGTCGGCCTGTGGGGGCCCCCTGGGGGGCTGGGGGGGCCCCGCAGCTGGGGGAGGGGGCCCCACAGTAGGGGCGGGGGGGCCTCCGGGCCCCCCGGGGGGGCCCCCGGGGCCCCCGGGAGGGCCCCCGGGACCCCCGGGGGGGCCCCTGGGGCCCCCGGGGGGGACCCCGGGGCCCCCAGGGGGGCCCCCGGGGCCCCCGGGGGGGCCCCTGGGGCCCCTCGTTTATGCAGTAGACCGAAATAAAACCACAACAGCAAGAAGGCTGCAAGAGTGTTTGCTGCTGCAGGCGACGCAGCTGCGGGCCTTTAGGCGCTGCGTGCTGGAGGCCCTAGGGTCTCGCTGGGCTTGGGGGCCCCCAGATCCGAGGGGTGGGGGGCCCCCCAGCAGCCCCCGGGGGGGCCCCCAGTACCCTGGGGGGGGGCCCCCAGCCTCCACCGCCTGGGGGGCCCCCCAGTGGGCCCAGCAGCAAAAGGAGCTCTTCCCTGCGGGCTACCAAGTGCTGCTGGAAGAGAGGGCCTCTTGTGCTGCAGCAAATATCTGGAATGCAATTCAAGACGCAGAAGCCCGAATGGGGCACTGGGGGCCCCCACAGGGCCCAGGGGGCCCCTGCGGGGGCCCCTCGGGGGGCCCCTTGGGGCCAGCTGGGGAGGCCCTTCATCAAGGGGGGCCCCGGGGGCCCCCAGCGGGAGGCCCCGCGGCACAGGGGGCCCCCTCAGCAGCCCAGGCTGAAGGAGAGGGTCATGTGGAATACTTGGGAGGGGGGCCCCCGGGGCCCCCGGGGCCTCCTGAGGGGGGAAGGGTACTGGGAGAAGGGCCCCCTGGGGGTGCCCCCCAGAGGGTCTCCTGGGAACCTCCCAGGGGGGCCCCTGGGGGCCCCCGCGTGGGCTTTGTGTTTTGTTCCGCAGCGCTGTTGCCGCTGCTGATTGAGGCCCTGCAGCAGGTGCATGCAGTGGAAGCCCCAAAGGCAGCAGCAGCAGCAGCAGCAGCAGCAGCAGCAGCTGCTGCTGCTGCAGGGGAGAAGGCGCACTACCGCACGTCTATGTTCGCTGCTCTGCATAGGTCGCCCCCGTGTCTGCTGCCTTTGCTGCTGCTGCGCTTCGTGCTGCTGCCTGCTGCTGCTGCTTATGGCATTGCTGCTGCTGTTGCTGCTCTTTCCTCTTGGGCCCGGGGCTGCCTCCACAGAGGCGAACCCCCAGCAGCAGCAGCAGCAGAGCTGCATGTGCCCATAGATGGGGATTCGCTGCCTCAGAGGCCCCAGAGGCCCCACAGGGGGCCCCTCGAGGGGGGCCCCCAGAGGCCCCACAGGGGGCCCCTCGAGGGGGGCCCCCCAAGGGGGCCCCCCTTAGGGACGGCAGCAAACCGAGCTGGTGGCTGGCAGCAAGGCCTGGGCGGTATACTTTCTTGAACACTCAACGCAAGTTTCTTGTGCTGCGGTTGCTGCTGCTGCGCTGCTGCTGTTGCTGCTGCAGTTGCTGCTTCTGCTGCTGGGCAGGGCTGCTGCTGTTGCTAAACGGCCCTGCTGCTGCTGCTGCCGCACGGACTTGCTGCCGCTGCTAAGGGGAAAAGGGTGCACACAGAAATACCCTAGAGACTGCTTTTAAATTCTAACAAGGCTAAGAACCTCAGGGGGCCCCTCTAAGAGCCTTAGGGGGCCCCTCTAAGAACCCTAGGGGCCCCCTATAAGAGCCTTAGGGGGCCCCTCTAGGTGCCCCATGGGGCCGATCTAAAGCGTCTCAAGGAGCCCCTCGACCCCTTCAGGGGGCCCCTCTGACAGCCTTAGGGGGCCTTTTTAAGGGCCTCAGGGGGCCCCTTAAAGGGCCTCGGGGGCCCCTTTAAGGGTCTCAGGGGGCCCCTTTAAGGGCTTCAGGAGGCACTTAAAGGGACCTTAATACTGGGGACTTATAACTAGAAATAGCAGAAGTTATGAAGGCGAAGGGGCCCTCCCGCCCCTCTCCTGGCTCTAGCCCACCTCAAGGAGGGCCCCCCAGGGGGCCCTCTTCGGGGTCCCCCCTTGACTAGGGGCCTTTTTTGCTGCTGCAGCAGCACTGCTGCTGCTGCAGCAGTGCTGCTGCAGCAGCAAAAAAAGGCACTGCTGCTGCAGCAGCTAAAGGGCATTCTTTCTGAGCTTTTGGGGCTATGCTGGGCCTGCAAAAGGCCTATGGAGAGCAATCAAAAAGCAGCCAAAGGGCCTTCTGCAGGGGCCCCCTAATTCGTTAGGGGGCCCCCTAATCCTTTAGGGGGCCCCTTTGGGGAACCCCGTAACCCTTTGGGGGGCCCTCTATCCCTCTAGGGAGGCCCCTAGCCCTTCAAGGGGACCCAACAGCCGCTTTTGCTTCTGCAGCAGAAAGCCACGCAGCAGCAGCAGCACGGAGGCTGCACAAGTCTTTGCTGCTGCTGGCCACGCAGCTGGGGGCCCCCCGAGCTGGGGGCCCCCGGGTCTAGGGCTCAGCTGGGGGGCCCTCAGGCACTCCTAATACTAATGAGGGGCCCCCAAAACGCAGTAAGGGGGGCCCCCAAAAAGCGGTAAGGGGGGCCCCCAAGAAGTGCTAAGGGGGGCCTCCCAGCATCGCTAGTGGAGATCTCTGTGGGACCCCAAGGGGGCCCCAACGGTGAAGGAGTCTTTTAGCATTTGAACTAAGGAGAAAGAAGTTCATTTAATTCAAAGAAGTGAAGACTATTTTCCAAAAAAGGATTTGAAGAGCATCAAATAATGCCACAAATGCTTAGGAAAGTTCTCCTCTAGCGAGCGCCCCAGCAAGTCTCCTTAGGGGCCCCTTAAAGGCCCTCCCAGTAACTTGCTGCAGCAGCTGCAGCAGCAGTAGCAGCAGCAGCTGCAGCAGCAGCTGCAGCTGCAGCAGCAGCAGGGGACCCCCACGGCCTCCTGCGCTCTTCTAGCTCTGGGGGCCCCTCAGACCCTCTTAATTTCTGGGGGGCCCCCTCAGGGCCTCCTGGGCTCTGAAGGATTGGGGTCCCCCCCAGGGGGTTCCCTGGGGGCCCCCTCGAGTCGGAGGGTTACGGGGCCCCCTGGGGGCCCCCGAGGCTTTGGGGGCCTGGGGAGCCCCTGAAATCCCCCTGGGGGCCCCTGGAACCCCTTTGGGGGCCCCCTGGGGCCCCCTGGGGGCCCCCTGTGCTCGGGAGGATGCGAGTGACCTTGGAACTTCCTTGGGGGCCCCCAGGGGGCCGCTGGACGCGTGGGACTGTGGGGGCCGCTGAACCCTCCTAGGGGGCCCCCAGTGGGGGCCCCCTGTGCTCAGGGGGCAAAGGGGGCCCCTGAAAACCCCCTAGGGGCCCCCTGGGGAACCCCTGTGGCCGGGAAGCTGTGGGGCCCCTGGGGGCCCCCTTGGGGATGCTGGCTTTGTTTGTTTTAGACGAAGTTTTTGAGCAGCAATTTGTCTGTTTCGGAGTTTGTTTTTGTGTTGGAGTGGCTGGCATGTTTAAGTCGGAAAAGTTTTCTGTTTTTTTGAAACAAAGTTTGGACTTGTTTGGGGGTCATGGGGTGTCTGTACACCTCAAAGTTGAACAGCGCACCAAACGGCATGCGGCACTCCCCCGGGTCGCCCTCGTCCTCGCTGCTGCTGCTGCTGCTGCTGCTGCTGCTGCTGCTGCTGCTGAGCAAGTCTGGGGGCTTCGGGGCTTTGCTGCGGTACTGCCGCAAACTGGCGTTGCCAATAACAGCCAAAGGGCCGCTGCAGCAGGCTGGGGCGGACCCTTGGTGCAGTCCGTCGATGTAAATGTGCGTGACTCTGCTGCTGCTGCTGCTGCTGCTGCTGCTGCTGCTGCTGCTGCTGGTGCCCACCGCCACGAGGTGGTGCCAGCCTCTCTCCAAGTGCTGCAGAGAAGCAGCAGAAGGCACGAAGGGACAAAAAGAAGAAACAGAAGTGACACAAGTCTTTGCTGCTGCTCGGCTGCGCGGCCGCGCAAGGACTCCTGCAGCAGCAAAGGTGTACAGACACCCCGACCCCTAAACCCTAAACCCTAAACCCTAAACCCTAAACTCAGAAGCACAGCAAGCAGCAACAAGTGCAAGAAGAACCCACGAAGCAGCTGCAGCTCAGAAGAGGGAACTGGACTCCGAAGAGAAACAAACAAGGCTGAAAATGAAGTGGCAGCAGCAGAAGCAGCAGCAGCACAACAAGCCAACAGCGGCAGAGGCAGCAGCAGCAATACCAGAAGCAGCACCAGGAGCAGCCACAGCAACGCCAGAAGCGGTAGCCACAGCAATATCAGCAGCAGCCACAGAAGCCGCAGCAATACCAGCAGCAGCAGCAGCAGCCGCCAAAGCAATACCAGCAGCAGCAGCAACCACAGCAATACCAGCAGCAGCAGCCACAGCAAAACCAGCCGCAGCAGCCGCAGCAACACCAGCAAACGCAGCAGCAGGACTGCTGCGCGTGCTGCTGCTGCTGCTGCTGCTGCTGCTGCAGCAACAGGCGCAGAACCTGGGGCCGCACCTAAAGTGCAGCAGCGGGGATCAGCAGCTAAAAAGGCGCCGCCGCTGCTGTTGCCAGCCAAGGCGTGGAAAGCTCCAGTTTGCTGCAGCGGCAGTTTGGCCCAGCAGGCCATAGTGAAGCCCTGGGGGCTGAGGGGCAGGGGGGGAACTAGGTGCAGGCTGCCCCGCAGCGCCTTGCTGCTGCTGCTGCTGCTGCTGCTGCTGCTGCTGCTGCTGCTGCTGCTGCTGCTGCTGCTGGCGGCCCGGCCCAGCGCCGTGTCCCACGCAGCCAGCAGCCCGTTGGGGGCCTCCACGAAGTCCCCCAGCCCCACAACCATCAGCTCGTGTCTCTTTGCTGCTGCTGCTGGCAGCAAATCGACATATTCTCCGTCGGACAGCACCTGCAGCAGCAGCTGCAGCGGCCGCTCCTCTGCTGCTGCGCTTTCCCGGGGCGCCAGCACCAGCTCCTCGCTGCTGCTGCTGCTCCCCTCGCTCCCGCTGCTGCTGCTGCGGCTCCCCTGCTTGCTGCTGCTGCTGCTGCTGCTGCTGCCCCGCTCCACCGGCACCTGCGGACCTGCGTAGGAAGACCGCCCAGCAGTCAGCGCGTACCGCAGCGGATAAGCTGCAGACACAGCCACAGCCGCAGCAAACACACACTGCAGCATCAGCAGCAGCTGCAGCAACGCTACCAGCAGCAGCAGCAACAGCAGCAATAACGCTACCAACAGCAGCAGCAAAAACGACGCTGCCAGCAGCAGCAACAACAACAACAGTGACGCTATCAGCAGCAGCAGCGAGAAAGCTGTCAGCAGCAGCAGCAGCGCAATAGTAGAGGAGGCAGCAGCAGCAGTGCAATAGTGGGAGTGGCAGCAGCAGCAGCAACAACAGCAGCAGCAGCAGCAGCAGCAGCGGAGGGCTACTCGTGTAGTCGAAGGAGACTTCGTGGGGCCTAAAGGGTTTGGCGTAAACCCTCAAGTGGGCAAAACCCCCGAAGGGTTTGCTGCCCGAAAGATAATTGCCAATGTACTTTATGGGGGCCCAAGAAACCCTAGGGACAAGTCCCCTGGGAGCCCCATCAAGGTAGAAGGCCATGCTGCCAGCTCCGTCTTGTGTTGCTGCTGCTGCTGCTGCTGCTGCTGCAGGCGAGGTCCTCCCTGCTGCTGCTGCTGCGCGCGACAGCGGCGGCGCTGCAGCAGCAACCACGTGCAGCAAATGCCAGCCCTCGCTTTCAAGGGACAAGTCCAGTCCTGAGGGAAAGTATTCTCGGGAGAGGCCATCGGACTGGACAGACCACTGGTCATCTGCTGCTGCTGCTGCTGCTGCTGCTGCTGCCGCTGCGGCCGCTGCGGCCGCTTCGATCGGCAGCCCCGCTCCAGCGCCGTCGGCCACAGCGCCCGCAGCAGCAGCAGCAGCAGCATTAGCAGCAGCAGCAGCAGAAGTGTCTGGAGGCCGCAGCAAAGAACCCACTGAACCCCCGTCAGCAGCAACACAAATGTGAATATCCAAATCCCCACAAAGCAGCGCATGCAGACTCCCAGTTGCTGGCAGCGGGGTGTATATCCAGACAGCCAAAGTGTAGCCTGCTGCAGCAGCAAGCTCGCGGCGCAGCAGCAGCTGCGGCTGCAGCAGCAGCAAACTCTCGCCGCGCGTGCTGCCGCCCACTGCAGCAGCAGTTAACGGGTAGCAGCCCGAAATGTACTTCAATCCGTGAACTCCTGTTGCTGCACATCTTTTCATTTCTCGAGAAGGCAAAGACAAATAATAAGCTGCTGCAGTGTACACTTGGGGTGTACATACACCTAACACGCGCTTGTGGCGCACCAGCGGGTCCGCCACCACCAGGCTCAGGTCCAGCAGCAAGTCCATCTCCAGCTGGCCCCCTGCTGCTGCTGCTGCTGGGCTTGCTGCTGCTGCTGCTGCTGCTGCTGCTGCGTCCACAGCAGCAAGAAACCCGTCCCCAGCCTTCTTTGTGTCTCGGCGAGAAGCTATTTCGAAATAACGAGACATAGCAGCCGACGGGTCGAGAGTAAGAGAAAAGACCTGAAAGCAGCAGCAGCAGCAGCAACAGCAGCAGCAGCAGCAACAGCAGCAAGAGTTAAACGAAGCCCCCGCTGGAAACAGTTAGAGGGCTTTCTAGTATATTACGATTTGAGGGTTTGGGCTGAAGGGCTCTGGTTTACGGCTGGCGCGGGGTGACGTTGGGGCTAAACCCTAAACCCTAAACCCTAGACCCTCAGCCCTAAACCCTAATTCCAATTAGGGTTTTACACGGGGGCTTGCTGCTGCCGGCGTCCGCTAGGGTTTAGAGGGCCTGATGTGCCTCAAGCTAGGGTTTAGGGTGTGCGTGAGGGTTTAGGGTTTGCTCTAAGGGTTTGCCCTGAGCTCTAGGGGCCGAAGCTGCCTAGGGTTTGAGGCTTGAGAAGGTATAGGGCCTAGTGGAATTTAGGGTATAGGGTTTAATAAGGGTTGTTTAGGGTTTGTCGAGGGTTTAGGGTTTGAGGCCCGGCCCGTTTGGAGGGCCTACGGTTCCTTGAGGGTTTAGGGTTTGTGGAGGATTGAGCGTTCGCTGAGAGTCTAGGGTTTTCAATGATTCAGGGTTTGTGGAGGGTGCAGGGTTTGTTGAGGGTTTAGGGTTTATTGAGGGTTTGGGACTATTGCGGGTTTAGGGTATCTTGAGGGTTAAGAATTTACTGAGGGTCTGGGGTTTTTGAGGGTTTAGGGTTTGTGACGGTTTAGGGTTTCTGGCAATCTAGGGTTTCTATTGGGTTGAAGGTTCTTGAGGGTTTAGGGATTTTGAAATTTTAGGGTTTTTGTTTTGAAAGTTTAGAGTTTTAGGGTTTAGGGTTTGGGGTATTTGGGGGTTTAGGGCTTTTGAGTATATGGTCTTTGATAGTTTGGCGTTTCGGGGGTTTAGGGTTTCTGAGTAAAGGGCTCTTGAGGGTTTAGGGTTTAGGGTTTAGGGTTTAGGATCACCTTGAAGGCGTCGAGCGTGCCTGCGGGTTTGCCTCCTTGAATTTGATTTCCAATTGCGCTGATTTCGGAAAAAGTGTTTTTTAGATTTTTGAAAATAAATCCAATTTGAATTCCATTTAAATAAAAACTCATTTCATCTCCTCTCCTGACTGCATGCAGCAAGTGGTATCCGGGTGTACAGACAGCTGACAGCAGCAGCTGCTTTTCTCGTTCTCCTCCTTTTCGTCGAAAACAAGAACAAATAAATCCATTTCGGTGAACAATCTCTTCCTTTTCCTTCTTCCTCTTGCGCTTGCTGCTGCTGCTGCTGCTGCTGTCACTGCTGCTGCTGCTGTCGCTGTCACTGCTGCTGCTGCTGCTATTCAGGCCGAGGACACTGAGGCTGAGGGTTTCGAGGGCAGCGAGGCTGTCGGGCAGCGGGCCTGCTGCTTGCTGCTGCTGCAGCTGCTGCTGCTGCTGCTGCTGCTGCTGCGGAAGGGCCTCTATGATCTGCCCCGTTCCCAAGTGAACAGCAGGAAGTGCTGAAGGAAATATTTTCATGAAATCTTTTCGCAATTCTATTCCTCTTTCGATGCGTCTTTTGTGCTGCAGCGCTGCAGGCTCAGCAGCAGCAAACTCGTACAGAGCAGCAGCAGCAGGAAACGCTGCAGCAGCGCGAGGCGCCGGCAGCACAGCCAGCCCCGCGTTCCCTGCAGCAGCAGCAGCAGCAGCAGCAGCAGCAGCAGCTCACATGCGTAACTGACAGACACACAGACGGCCAGGCCGAAGCAAATAGGGGGAACAGCAGCAGCAGCAAGAAGCAAAAACAGCAAATGCAGCAGCAAAACGAAACAGAAGAGTCAAAAGCAATTGCAAGAAGGAACAAAAAGAATATGAACAGCAACAAAAAACCAAAGAGAGAAGAAGCAGCAAGACACAAAAGCAACAAACACAGCAGCAGCAGCAAAGCGATGCAACAAACAAAGAGAGAAAAGCAAATCAAACTAAAAAAGCAACAACAGACAAGAAGCAAAACTTGCAGCTGCAGCGCCAAACAGCAGCAGCAAACGACACAGAATGTGATGCTTCTGCTGCTGCTGCTGCTTGTGCTACTGCGGCTGCTGCTACTAATACCACTACTACTGCTGCTGCTGCTGCTGCTGCGCAGGAAGTAAAGCCTTGCAGCCGCGGCTAATGGTACGCGAGGCAGCAGCAGCAAACGAAACAGAATGGCATGCTGCTGCTGCTGCTGCTGCTGCTGCTGCTGTTGTGCTCACGAGCGACATCTTTCAGCTGTTCTGTGAGCTCCTCTTTCTTCTTTTCCTCTTCTTCTTCAAAACCCTAAAGGAAAGAAAAAGAAAAGGCGCAACAAAACCCTAAACCCTAAACCCTTAACCCTGTCTCAAAACCCTTAACCTTAAGCCCTCACCGCCAAGCTCTAAACCAGGGTTTAGGGTTAAGGACTCTGGGTGCAGCTCTAGGGTTTAGGGTTTCGGCCTGAGATCTAGGGTTTAGGGTTTTCGTTCTAACTCTAAAAGTTGGGGTTTAGGGTTTAGCGTTTCCATGAGCTCAACCTCCTCGTCTTGGCTTCAGGCCCTAGCTTTAGGGCCTAGGGTTTAGGGTTTAGGGTTTAGGGTTTAGTACTTCTATGAGCCTGGCCTCCTGGTCCAAACCCCGGGCCAAGAAACGGGAGGTGGGCAATTCTCTGGCGACTGAGACAAAAAAATAAAGAAATAAATTATTTATAATTTTAAAATTAAAAATTGATTTTAAAATAATTAAAAACGAAAAAATTAAATGGTTTAAATTGCTTTTATTCAGACCTTTCCCAATATAATATTCTTAAGACTGCTGCATTAATGTGGTAATAAAAATGATACAATTCAAAGTTGAATATAACTTAAAAATGTAATTAAAAACCAAATATGATAAAAATGTAATTAGTAAACAAATGCAATATTAAGAAATGAAATAATTAATTAAATGCAATAATAAAAAGGGAAAATTGGAAAATATATGGCATAATTAAAAAGATGGACTCGAAAAAAGAAATAAAATGCAGTTAAAATTAAATGGAACAATAACAAATATGGAAGTAGAAAGAAAAAAATAATTAAAAGGTTTAATTTAAAAAAAATAACTAAAAGATTTAATTAGAACAGAAATGATAAAAGTGCAAAATAAGAATAAGAATAAAATCAGAAGACTAAAATAGAAAAAAATATTGGCAGATATTAAGAAATAAAATTCAAAAAAAAGAAATAGAGAAGCAGCAAATAAAAAACAGGAATAAAAAAATTAAAAGAAATTAATTTTAATTTCAGATTTAAAACGCAAAAGTCAAGAATAATTAGAAAATGAAATAGCGAAAAATAAAAATATCAAAACAA